ACCTAAGTTATACACATTGTTTTTAGATATATATATTTACAAGCAATTTGCATTTCCAGCAATCATGGTATAGGTGATTGAAGTTCTATGGGGTGTAACTTAACACTGCCTTATTAACAACAAAGGCAACATATGGAGATAACGAAAAGTATGCAAGATCAAAAGTCCAAAACACAATACAAAATAGAAGCAGAGCAAACAAGGGGCTCCAAATTTTCAGAAGTGGGATCAGTTGCCATGGAGATGTGAGAATCTTTTGCCTGCCAGTCACATCCGCCGTGCTCCAAGTCATGAAAATCCGTTGTCAATACTACCGGTTATGATATATCAAAGTAATATTGATTTTCCGCAAATTGATAGCTTTTAATTATAATAGAGACAACTCTTAAGTAATTTCTTAACTTAATGCTTTTTTTTTTGTTATGAGGATTGATTGTATACTGTTTAACGTCCCTATCCAGAATATTTCACTGATATAGAGACGTCACCATTGCCGGTGAAGGGCTGCAAATTTAGGCCTATGCTCGGCACTCAGGGCCTTTGAGCAGGGAGGGATCTTTATCGTGCCACACCTGCTGTGACACGGGGCCTCGGTTTATACGGTCTCATCCGAAGGACCGCCCCATTTAGTCGCCTTTTACGACAAGCAAGGGGGTACTGAGGACCTATTCTAACCCGGATCCCCACGGGACTTTGTTATGAGGAAAGATGTTGTAAATAGCAATGAAACTCGTCGAACACGCACAATATCAGAGTCAAAAATGCAATTTAAAAATAATTGATGAACGGTGATTGATTAGATAAATTACCAAAAAATAAATATGTTAAAAGGGCATTAAATAACAAAACAACATTTTATAGATGGGGACAGTGCTTAAAAAGGGTAAACAATCCCTTTCGTCGTCTGGTCTGAAAAGTGTAATATTTAGTAGATAATAAAATAAATATGATACCATGTAATATTATACAATTATTGTTGTGTTTTGAGGTCAATACAATGATTTAGCCATCTGAGGAGTACAATATTCACCGAGCCCGGAGGGCGAGGTGAATATTGTACTTCGAAGATGGCTAAATCATTGTATTGACCGAAAAAACAGCAATAATTGTTTTATTATATGATTCATTAATAAATGATAAAAGCATTACTCGCTTGAATTTAATTAAGCCCTATCCAAATACAATTAAGAGAAAAGCAGAATTAAAGTGTTAATCACCATACCGGTCGTATTAATTTTTTTAAAAAGTTTTTATTTTTTTTAAAATCAATTTTAGTTGCTACGAAAAAAAAAAAATTAATGTTAGTCTCTTTTCTAGGATAGTTTTTTAAAGGAAGGAGATCAGGGAAAACTGACTGCCAAAAATTAAAAATTGTTGTTCAGTAAAAGTGTTGGAGGAGTGTCCCCGCATCCCCTCTTAACACCCTCGCCCGTAAATATATACATGTATTCGCTTATGTTTTCTTCACATGAAAAAAAGTTATACCAGTTTAAATAGCAAATCCAAATCAATTTGTATCAATTTGGAATATACCGATCTATTTTTAGATCAATGTAGAGGAAACAAATCCTTGTATTGACCTGGAACGTCACGTGCAGGTCAATACAACGTAGTATTTTTCTTACATAGTTGGATCTCAGCCAATCAGAGAGATGGAAATTATTCAATCATATAATAAATTTTGATATGATTTCACCATGGTGATATTTTTTCTCTACCATTGAATTTCATTGATAAATATCAGCATCGGTATACTTGACAGAAAATTAAATGGAGTAAATGTTCTTATGATAAGCGTTTGCTAGTAGGCTTTAAGAAACATCAATGAATATCAAACCTCGGCCTAAAAGGCATTCTGCGGTCGGAATGTAAAGAAGGAATACAAATACTAGACATAAAACCATCGTTAAGGAAGCTTTGGTCCTGTAAAGAAGTCACTGCAATAAAAAAAAGATCGAGTTAGAACCTGGAAATATTATATTAAAAACAATCCTTTGAAATTACCTCATTTTCTCAAAAGTATCTTAAAATACATTTGTCTGTAAAAAAAAAAAAACATGCTAAGATCAATCATGTACCATAATCTATCCTGACGCCTGTCCTCCCAGAGAAGCACTGAAACATATTACATATATATGCAAATATATTTATATATAAATGCAGCAAATAGACTTCAGTGCACATCTTGCATCCTGGTCCATTATGTCAATTGTTTAATAAATTACTTCATTTCTAAAGTGATATTATGGTCACAGCCTTTTAATTAAATTAACATTTTTTTAACTAATACCAAAGAGCAGATTTCAAAGCATTAATTCATTTTCAGAATATTAACCCCCTCCGGTACCCCTTACATGACCCATGGGCCATGAAATTAGTCATTTTGAAAGAGGCACATTTCTTCATTATAGATCTGACTTAGAACATTAGCATAACATCGAACAGCAAAGAAACAGATTTTTTTTCAAAGAAATCATGTATTTTAATTTTATAATCAATAGAGCCCCGCCCTAGCACCAGAACCCTGCCCCAGGGGCCCTGAAATTCACAAATTTGAAAAAAGCTTCTCCCCTCATTGCAACTAAGTACATACATGTCGTTCATCGGTTTAAAACCCAGTAGCAGAGGGGAAAAGTTTCAAAACATTAATGCATTTTCTCTATATAATCAATAGAGCCACGCCCTAACTCCAGAACCTGTGCCCATAGGGCCGTGAAATTCACAATTTTAGAAAAGGTTCCCTTCCTCAGCAAAACGTATGTATGTGGTTCATTGATTTAATTCCAGGGAGCAGAGGAGAAGATTTTTTAAGAATTAATGCATTTTTACTATATAATCATTAGACTCCCCAACACAAGAACCCCTATCCCAGGAGACAGAAAATTCACAATTTTAAAAGAATTCTACATCAGAACTATGTACATCCTGCATTGGCTTCATATTCAGGACCATGGTATTTTTTAAAAAAAAATACATTTTCACTATACATTCAAAAGACCCCCGCCATAGAAAGAGAACCTCTGACCTTGGTACCAAGAATTTCACAATTTTGGTAGAGGACTCAATGAAATAAGAATATCAGAAGTCACCAATTTGTAAGTTTTAAGGTCAATAAAATAACCTTGTCGGCTAATACTACCAACCATAAAGTAAAATGGTGACAGACATTTTTCACGCTAATTGTGAGGGCCACTATTTGCACAAAAAAGTTGTCTTCGGATTTTTCACAAATTCTTCCCCGGACATGACAAACACGGCGGATGTGACCGGTGGGCATGAGATGCTCACCCCATTTCTGATAATTTTGAGGTCTGTTTTGCTCCGCTCCTATTTTGTAATGTTTTATGGACTCTTGAGCACAAATACCGTTCGTTATTTTCACATATATATTTCATACAAGAAGTGAACTTCAACTTGAAATATGGCGGAATACTAGACTGGGCCCTTTGTTACTAAAAGGTTAAAAAGATGAAGAGATCACTAATATTATCTGTGTCAATTTATTTGTTGATATACTGATGTTTGATGAACAAAGGGGTTGTTTGAACAGTATTTTCTTTCGCGCAACTCCTCTTAAACCTCTTAACAGAATTTTGTCAAAGTTTGCAGATATTTAAGGACAGATGATACAAACAAACTTTTGTCAAAGAACTGGAAAATAATAACTTGGGTCCTGTTTAAATGAGTAAAATGAATAATTTTCACCGCGTTGTTTTTAATTTTTTATTCAAATTTGCACAAAAGTGGGATTTGGAGTTAAACATATCTGTATAGATTAATAAGGATGGTTACAGGTTGCAAAAGGGCAGACTTTTGAACACCACATCAGGTTTACGGTTTCTTTATATTCTATAAATTTGTTATTTGCATCATTTGCCATGGAATTAGACTAAAAAATATATACGAATCCAGGCATCCATTTTTTGTTTATATCATCTGTCCTTAAGACACTATGTGTAGATGTGCATTTTACAAAACAATTCCGATTCCTTTATTTTTCTGGGAATTTCGACACTTTGAACTTAGTTTTTGGCCATATAGAGCAGCTGTAGAGGTTAACAGTTTGTCAGCGCTACCTCTCTGAAACCACTGCTCAGAATTTGGTCAAACTTTGCAGATATTTAGTACAAAGTACCTAAATTTGAATATTACAAAAACATGTCGATTCCTTTATTTTTTCTGGCACTTTTAAACTTTGATTTTGGGTTATATCTTGAATATAGAGATGAACAGTTGTCAGCGCAACCCTTCATAAACCGCTGCACACCATTGCGTCAAACTTTGCAGACATTTAATGTGTCGATGTGCATATTACCAGGAAATTCCGATTCCTTGATTTTTTCCGGGAAATTTGGCATGTACAGTTGTGTGTGTGTGGGGGGGGGGGGGGTCATGATGTTTGTGAGCTTGATCACTTTTTTCTTCTTTCATTTAAAATTGGTTTATCAAGTATCTTAAAAATTACCTCAACTGAAAACTGATTAGAAAAGCCTACAATTTAGGAAAGTTTATATTTTGTTGTTTTCTCATTGGCATAATTGTGGGTCTGTAAACACTTAGGGGTAGATATTTTGAGCCATGAAACAACTAAGCAGAAGTCTATTTATTTAAAACATCAAGCAAAAAATCAATAGTTATAAAGATAATGGAACGGTTTATTTGAATAAGCCAAAGATATTATCTAACAAATAACACCACTGCAGCAACGGTTTAAAGTAGGATTAAAAGCTTTAGTTCCTCAGCAATGATTGTTCGAACTTTTCCCCTTTATTACTCCATTGCAGCAGTTTTGATAAGCAGGATTGTATGACCGAGTTCCACAGCAAAGATTGTTCGTACCCTTCCCATTTATTACTCCATTGCAGCAGATTTGATAACCAGGGTTGTATGAACGAGTTCCACAGCAAAGGATGTTCAAGCCTTTCCCATTAACTACATTATTGCAGCAGATTTGATAACCAGGGTTGTATGAACGAGTTCCACAGCAAAGATTGTTCGTACCTTTCCCATTAATTACTCCATTGCAGCATATTTGATAACCAGGATTGTATGGTTGAGTTCCACAAACAGCTGTAAAAGATAATCAACAAAATATTCTTCACAGGTGTGTACGATTCAATGGCAAAATTTACAAGGCTAATATCTCTTAATTGATTCGAAACACAACAACACGTTCTACTTATGAAAATAATATCAAAACCAGGCAAGCTATTTACAAACGAATTGACGAAACAAAGATATCAACAGCTTCGTTTATTTAAAATCATTACTCCGTATAAGTTCTATGGTTGATACAATGACATTGTCAGCAACTATAATCTATTTTACAAGTAAGTCCAATGCAAACTGACGCTTTTCAAACAATTTAATTCTTATGTCATTTTTTTTACCCTGAATTGTCGACGGATTTTCCCGATATTCTTGCACTCAATATTTTTTCGCACCTAACCATAGTCTTAAAGTCCTTCTAACTAACTAAACGATGCCATTTATCGAATGAATGAAAGAGAATTCTACTGTCTAAAGAAAAAAAAATTCCTCAAATTGTCTACTTATTCGATGGTTTCGAATAGTAAGCTATTGATACCTGAACTTCTTATATGTAATTATATATATATCTGACTCCTTCAAGTATATCTTTTGGACATTTACATCGCTGTAAATTGAATTGTTTTAAATAAGATATACTGAAATGCAGAGTAACATAATATGCTATTTTTGTAATGCATAACAGAAAGTACTCGTATAAATATAGGTAATAGGAATATCCTTCTTAATGTGCATTAAAATTGGTGTTCAGAAATACTCAAACATGAAATGAATGACGTCACATAGTGAAAATGATAAATCGTCGAAAACACGTGCATATTGATGACGGCATAATGTTCAACACATTTCAAGCACCACTAGATATACTTTAATTATACATAGGAAAAGCGTTGTATATAACAATATTTACATTCACTGTAATTTTCCTTATGAAATACATTAGAAATCCACAACGTTCAAATTTCTATAACACACGCGAAACCTTGTCATCGCGCGTTAGAATACACAGTAGGACTTATATGCATTTTCAATACTCTAAGAACACCAAAATGTACATTGTTTTGACAGAATCTAATAAAAATAATTTACTCTGTTAAATTAACGTAAAAATCAACAAATGTGCGTTTAAAATTAATAGCCACTTTTTCCCCTAGTAACGTTCGTTTCCGTTATTAAACTTTGCAACGTCACAAACGTCACAACGGCACACCAGTTTTGAAGGGCGATTAATTCGCATCAAAAATTATCGAAATAAACAATTCTTAAGAGGAAAAATTAAAGAATGTAAATATTAGCATTGAACTCATATTTTTGGATGTCTTCGGTCCTGGCCGTGCCGACAAATTATCGTACCACGCTAACGCGCGGTATTCAATTTGTCGGAACGGCCAGGTGTGTTATAGGCCCGAAGACATCCCAAAATATGAATTCAATGATTAAAGAAATTCGTCGAACCTTCACGATATCAAAGATAAAAATGCAAAATAAAAATAAGTGATGAGTATAGATTGATTTTCCGAAAAACAAAAAAATTAAACAAATATATATGTATGTTAAAACAAATACAAAAGTCCCTGTTGTGTGGTATGAAAACGTTTGATGTATTTAGTAAAAATAAGAAGAAAATAAATCTATGATCAGCTTTAATATACTAGCATTATTAAATAAATTCACAAAAATTGCTTTTTACCACGATTCAATCTTAATGATACATATCAGCATTGGTAAACTAGACTGAATATTAAATGGAGTATCTGTTTTAACGACAAGCGTTAGATCAAAACGGACAGTACAACGTTTGCTATAATATACTGACACGCAAAAGAAACGCAACGAGCAGTAATCTACAAATGTTTGAATTTTTTATCTGATGATTTTCAAAATAGAATACAATAAGGCTAAACTCACTTTTCAGAACATCAGAGATTTGATAAAAATGTTAAATGTTTATCTTTTAACTTTACTTAGTAACATATGACTGTTAAAACACCCCCTCCGAGCCATTCAATTACAACGTGCTAAACTGCCCTAAACAACAATTGCAGCTTAATTTTTACGATACAATAGGTTAAACAATATCGAGATCTGAGCGAAGGAATTATTCTTTGCCAGTTTTAAATGCCTGTTTTTCAGATGATTGGGTCGAATTTTCTCTAACTTAGCGCATTATAGTAACCCTTGGACTTCAAGTCCAAGGTCTATCATTTATGAATTTGATACGTAGCACCTCTTTGAAGCGTAATGTAGTGTAATTTTGCATCATCAACTCTCCATCTTTACAATGAAAATTTCAGCTAGAGCAATGGAAATGCAAACTGAAGCTATTTTCAAGAAGCCTTAGCATCGTTACGGGAAACGAATGGAGATTTTATGTTTCGAAATATTGCAGCATTACTTAAGATAAACAGCACTAACTCTTGAAACTCCATAATATTGCCAAAGGTTTTGTTAAACATGTAATTTTTGATTTCTGTTAAGCAGACTCAAACTTGACTTCCGATTATGGTATAAAAATCGTTCAACCGTTAAATTACCGATATTTACCAAATTAAAGATATCTATGATTTTAGATGCAAAATTCTTCACTTTACATAATTATTTCCCTGTAAAGTAAGACATTGCGTTTCTTTTGCATTTCAGTATATAATAAGCTAAAAAAGAAGAAGGAAAAAAATATCAAACCTCGGCCTAAAACTGAATCTGCAGTCGGAATGCAAAGAAGGATTGCGACCATTAGACAAAAATTCATCGCTAAAAAAGCTTTGGTCCCGTAAAGAGGTCACTGCAATAAAAAAAAGGAGCTAATTACAACATGTAAAAATTTTGATTAAATACAATCAATTAATTTTGATTTTTCTTCATGTTTTGATGAAGATTAAAAAAAAACCTGTATGTAAATAATTAAACAAAAATCAACCATATACATTAATCTATCTTCAAGTCTGTCCCCTCAGAGATATACTGGCACAAATTACATTAATATATATGAGTTTTGTTTATTTATATATGTGTGCAGCAAATAGAATTCAATGCACATATTACATCCTGTTCCATTATGTCATTTTTCAAAATAAATTACTTATTATTTGTAATTTGTGATTTTATGCCCATAGCCTGTCAATCAAACGAACATTTTTACGTACTCCTCACTGCACTTTAATAATAAGGGTTACAAAGTAAACTCGAAAACAGTTTAAGTGATTCATAATTCTTCATGTCCCATGTATTACAAAGAGTAGTAAGAAGTCATTTATTTCAATGATTCTACCTTTTGTCCATGGGATATGCCAAATTTAATTTGTCTGACTTAAGTTTAAATGATGCTATTTATTAGTAGGGACTAGCATCTGATCCTGATGGTCTTGAATCGGACTGTTTGTCTCAGGCAAACATTTTGGTCATTTGATCCAACAAAACGCATGTTGTGCTCTAACCCATTTAGTTACTGTATATTACGTCTTTTCTTTAGCTTATTGAAAACATGATTTGTCATTGCTTCACCGTTGCTTAATTACTCTCTATAGAATGTTGTATTCAAAATAGATATGTCATTAATTTCATCACCACATTTATTCGCCCCCTAACATGGGTCACATAGAACTCGGTAGTCTATCATTGTCCTAGTCATTCACAATGAATTGACGACGGATTTTTCCGTTTATTCTAGATCACGACAAGGAGCACGAGAGGGTGTGGCCGGCCGACAGGAGATGCACACACCTCCATGGCACCTGATCCCATGTCTGGTGTTTTGGAGGTCCGTGTTTGCTCTGCTCCAATTTTGTATTGTTTTATGGGCTTTTGATTTTGAAAACTGTTCGTCATATCCATATGTTTCTAACATAAGTAGCAGAGCAAACTTGACCTCTAAAATATCATAGATGGGATCGTGTGAAATGATTTAAAACTGTTTTATGTTCCATAACATGTATATTGATACAATACATCCTTGTAAATTAATCAAAGTATCATTCTTTTGATATGATATTAACTTAATTGACTTTTAACTAATATTTATAGTTCTGTACACGTAAGTCAATCAAACCAGCTAATGTGTACTTTTCAGGAATGAATCTAGAAAAAAACCGAATGGTATAAATGGACATAACAGATAGTATTCAAAACTCAAAAGTACAACATTTGATTAAATTGTTTGACAAACGAGATGACTTCAGGTTTTTAAAAATTGTAAACAAAAATTCATCATGCACTTTTACTAACAGAATTAAAATTAACCTTGACTAATAAATTAATAAATAAATAGCGATCATACTGGCTTTATTTCTACATAGGAGAAAAACTTTTGATTTATGATATTATGCTGTACATAGAAGAGGAAAACCTATAAAAGCTTTATTGCTTGTGATTGACTTTAGGAAAGCTTCTGACGCCATTTCATGGAAATTTATTCAGAACCCCCTGCATTTTTAGTGTGGTCCCTTAATATAAAAATGGATGAATTTTTTTTTTCACAAAGTTTTATTATTCAGACAGGATTTAGATACCAGAACATCCTCTAATGAAGATTTTTTTGTACTTCGGGAAAATATGTCAATCAGATACCTTTTTTTTTTTTTTTAAATTTATATATTTTTTAAATGAAACATATGGAGATAACTGAAACAGAATTCAAGATCAAAGGTTCATAAAACAATACAAAATAGGAGCAGAGCAAACACGGACCAAAACATCAGAAGTGGGACCTGGCCCCGGGGCCACGAACATTTTATATTACTCAACTCAAATCTGTGTAGAGTAAACTTTACTTTACTCTCCGGAGTTGCGACTGAAAAAAGTGTGCCACGAACGCTAAGGAATTTCAACTCACCA